CATCTACACTCGGGCCTCTGTCCCCGCCTGCTCCTCAGAGGTGGGGCTCCCCGGCAGAGTGGGGCGCACAGGGCTCTAGCTCCGCTGCAGCTGGTCACAGCCCCAGGCACACCATGAGACTTGTTCTCCTTGTTTGTAAAAGTGGGGATCGGGACACCCATTTGACGGGGTGCCGGGTGGGGATCGTTGGGCTGGAGAAGCGGACGCAGATCTGCAGATCCGTGGATGGGGGCAGGCCAGGAGGAAAGCAGGTGTGGCGGCCTGGCCAAGGCTTCCAGCTCAGTCACTCCCTTACCTGATCTGCCAGGTACTGCCAGGAGGTCAGGCCCATGAGCCACAATAGAACAGCCACGGTCCGTCAGGTCCAGCCCCAGGCCGGGCCCTCCATGCTACCTGCCCACATCGTCCCAAGAGACCTGTCAAGTGGGCACCTATCTCCGGCCTCACTTCCTCTGCCACTTCCTGTCTGCTCCCAGCACTCTTTACCGCCTCTGTCAGAGCATTTACCACCCTGTGGCACAGATGCATTCCCACCAGATGGGGAGCTCCCTTAGGGCACGAAGACATTGCTGCTCTGGTGCCTGGCACACAGTGGGGTTCTATGTGTGCAGATGAATCAGTGCAACTGAACAGAAGCTTCCCATGCCCCCCCGCCTCATTTCCCACAGCTGAGGACGTGCACCGTTGCAGCAAGGCCAGCTTCTGTCTCAGCCCTGCCTTCCCCCTCCTCCCCCCGCCCCTGTGGTCCCTGGGCTTCTCTTCACCTGGGTCCTATCCCCCAGAGCTGCCCTGGACATCTCAGGACACTGACACCATCACATCGAGGGTCTTGGTACATGAATATTTTGTATTTTGTGTGCCCCAAAAGAAGCTATATATAAATACACGTCAACTGGTAATCAGGCAGGTCTTTTCTCGAGTCTTCACCTCCTTTCTGTTGTGTCTCCCCGGATGCCCGGGCATGCTGGCTGTGGGCCATGGTCAGCCCCACACAGTCAAATGGGCATCTGTGTGGGTCTCAGGGCAGAGCCGGGCATCAGCTCCCCTACTGCCTGAGGGTCAGAACCTCTAGTTCTGCAGCTTGGGTGGGAGATGAGGACCTACCACATTCAGAGAGGCAAAAAAGATAAGGAGAAGGCATTTCCGGTGGAGGAAATGATGTGAGCAAAGACAGTGGGGGGCATCCAGGTGGGGGTGGGCCTGGGGTCTGGACCGAGGAGCGTCTTGGAGAGTAGAGGGTTCTAAGACTGGAACCAGAACTCAGGAATGCCAGTGTTGTTTCCATTTCCCATAATTAAAAAGGCAGGTGTTTGGGATGCCTGGCTGGCTCAGTCAGTGGAGTGTGTGACTCTTGAGTTGGGGGGTGTGAGTTCGTGTCCCACGTTGGATGTAAAGATGACCTTTTAAAAAAAAGGCAGGCGATGACTTGGTTTGAGAAGCAGGTCTGGAGCCGGTGTGCTTGAGGAACAGGGGCCATGGCCATCCCCACCCCTGCCCCTGCCCCAGACCGCAGCCTGACCCTGCCTCCACCAGGCCCCGGCTCTGTCACCTGTCTTCCTACTTATCTTCCCTGAGCCTCAGATTCCAGAATGATCCCCATGAAAACAAGAGTGACCTCTGGTTATTGGAGCTGCCTCCTGCCAGACCCCTAGCCCAGCAAGTGTTCCTGGAGGGTAAACAACTCACCTAAGGTCACGCGACTAAGGAAGGGATGTGATTCTCCAGGCCTCTTCCTGAGCTCAACGACCAAGGACAAGCCTGGACACGGGGCCACCTGGAGAGCCACCCAGGGATGTGTGTCCCTCCAGGGACAGTGGTGCTGAGGTGCAGGAGCAGAGGCTGCTGGGAGGAGGAAGATTTGAGTCCTTCCCTCTAACCCATGCTAAGCCACTTTTTCATGGGAATGCATGAAATCACCTGCCACAGCGGGCACTGGGCACGGAGCTGGATCCGGCCTCCCCTCGGGGTCTTGTCCTGGTGTCAGGCCACCCGGGGTCTCAGCGGTTGGCGCCTGGTGCCCTCTAGTGGCGCAGCTGGGCACCGATGGGCCAGAATGCACCTTCCTCCTGGGCCTGCCCCTTTGTTCCGGGCACCTCACCAGGCCACCTGCTGTCCTTGAGCACTCTTCTGGGAGACAAGGGGGGACACTGGGAAGAAGACTTGGAATATGATGGCTGGGATTCGGCCCCGCTACCTTAGACAGGTGCCTTGGGTTTTTCATGTGTGCAATGGGGGTGCCCACACCCTCCCTCCTGCCTCCCGGGACTCCGGTGAGAATCCAATTGGATGTGATGGACAACAGGACCTTGAAGTTCAAAAGTGCTACAGAAGTATTGTGCTCGAGAGAAAATAACTAAGTGCAGGTCCAGGACGCCAAGGACCAACGAAGGGCTGGCGTGGGGGAAAGAGCCCAGGAGGGGAGAAGGCATCCCCAGCAGAGGAAAGGGTGGTGGGCAAGGGCAGCTGGGGTCAGCAGAGACCAATTCATCCTGTAGGGCAAGGGGAGCCTTCTGGGGACATTCAGACAATGGTGTTGGAATAAGAAGTCGACAGAGATTCATTTCTTGGTCCCTTCTCTTACTCTACTGCCCAAACCAATCTGCAGATGCAATGCTATCCCTATCAAAGTTCCAGTGGCACTTCTCAGAGAAGCAGAACAAACCATCCTAAAATGCGTGTGGAAGCACAAAATACCCTGAACAGCCAAAGTGAACTTGGGAGAGAAAAGCAAAGCTGGAGGCATCACTGTATATTTCACAGTTAGGGTAACGCACACAGTATGATGTTAGGGTAAAAACAGACACACTGGTCAAAGAGCAGAACAGAGTCCAAAAATAAATGCACATGCATATGGCCAATTAATTTACAACCAAGGAGGCAAGAATATACAATGAGGAAAATAGTCTCCAATAAATCGGTAGAAAAACTGAGCCGCATGCAAAAGAATGAAACTGGACCACAATCTTGCTTTTTTAAAGGTTTTATTTATTTATTTGGCAGAAGGAGAGAGCACAAGCAGAGGGAAGAAGCAGACCCCCTGCTGAGCAGGGAGCCCAACACAGGGCTCAATCCCAGGACCCTGGGATCATGACCTGAGCTGAAGGCAGATGCTGAACCTACTAAGCCCCCCAGGTGCCGCTGGACCACTTTCTAACACCACACACATTAACTAACTCCAAATGGATGAATGGATTAAAGACTTGAAAGTAGACCTAAAACCACAAAACTCCCAGAAAACATAGGTGGTAAACTTCTAGATGTTGGTCTTAGTGATGATTTTTTAAATTTAATACTAAAAGCAAAAGCAACAAAAGCAAAAACCAGCAAGCTGGACCACATCGAACTAAAAAGCTTTTGCACAGCAGAAGACACCATCCACAAAGTGAAAGGCAACCTACGGGATGGGGCAAGATGTTTGCAAATCACATATCTGATATATCTGATAAGTGGTCATATCCAAAATACATACAGTCACACAACTCAACAATGACAACAAAACACATTTGATTAGAAAATGAGCAGAAAAAAAAAGAAAATGGGCAGAAAATCTGACAGATATTTTTCTGAAGATGACATCCAGATGACCAACAGGTGCACGAAAACATCTCAATGTCACTGATCACCAGGAAGGTGCAAATCAAAGCCACAGTGAGATGTCACCTCATGCCTGTCAGAATGGCTCGGATCAAAAATACAAGAAATAACAGGTGTTGGTGAAGATGTGGAGGAAAAGGAACCCTCATTCACTATTGGTGGGAATGCAAACTGGTGCAGCCACTGTGGAAAACAGTATGGAGGGTCTTCAGAAAATAACATATAGAATTACCTTGTAGTCCAGCAATTCCCCATCTGGGTATTTATCTAAAGAAAACGAAAACTCTAACTCAGAAGGGTATCTGCACTCCCATGCTGACTGCAGTATTATTTACAGAAGCCAAGACACAGAAGCAGCAATCCACTCATGGACAGATGAATGGATAAAGATGTGGTATTAATTAATGGAATATTACACAGCCATATAAAAGAATGAAATCTTGCCATCTTGGATGGACATCAAGGGCATCATCCTAAGTGAAGTAAGTCAGACAAAGAAAGACAAATAGAATATGATCTCTCTTATATGAGTAATGTTTAAAAACACAACACCACCAAGATCATAGATACAGAGAATGGATTGGTGGTTGCCAGAGACAGGGCTGGGGGTGCAAGAAATGGGTGAACCATTTTTTTTTTTAGTTTAAATGAATCAAATAACTTGTATTTTTTAAAAGATTTATTTATTCATTTTAGAGAGAGCATGCTCATACACGTGTGGGGAGGGGCAGAAGGAGAGGGAGAAAATATCTATGAGACTCTCTCCTGAGCGGGGAGCCCAATGTGGGGCTCGATCCCAGGACCTTGAGATCAGGATCTGAGTTAAAATCAAGAGTCAGACACTCAACAGATTTAGTCACCCAGGTGACTTGAATAACTTACATTGTTTTAAGTATATTTTAAATAAAACACTCTTTAAAATGTCACGGAAACACATTTTTAAACAGTTCTTTGCTTAAAAATATATTTGCGGACCAGATAGGTTATCAAGACTCTAATGACTCAATGCTATCAACTAAGAATTTGAAGTTTCTCCTATTTAAAAAAAGGCAAGAGGAATAACAGTTTTATTTGCTTCTACAAAACAGAAAAAATTAAAATATCTTATCAGAGGGCAGCCCAGGTGGCTCAGCGGTTTGGCGCCGCCTGCAGCCCAGGCCTGATCCTGGAGTCCCGGGATGGAGTCCCACGTCGGGCTCCCTGCATGGAGCCTGCTTCTCCCTCTGCCTGTGTCTCTGCTTCTCTCTCTCTATGTCTCTCATGAATAAATAAATAAATGAAATAATAAAAAATAAAAATAAAATTTTTAAAATATATATATATATATATATATATATATATATATATATATATCTTCTCAGAGCATGTTTCCCAGTGGCTTGATACCCTCAAAGCAAAGTTCCCACTCCCCAGGGAAGGCTGTAGGGAAGCCAGTGCTGACCCCATGGGGCGGCACCTGCGGCGGGGGCGGGGGGCCTGCAGCATTAGCCCCTGCCTCCACTCCCCGCTCCTCCTGCAGGAGGGCACCCCCATCAGCACAGTGAGGGGAGGCGGACAGTCCGGGGCTTCAGGAAACAGGTCTGGTTTAAGGACTCAGGCCTTCCTCCTCGCTGGCTGTGCTCCCATCTCTGCCAATATGCCAGTGTTCCCAGCAGTAAGGGGGGAGATGCTAACCAGGTAATAATTCTTGAAGAGAACATAAGATCATAGCTCTTGCCTAGGTGACACTGTGTCCGGCCCTTGATCAGTGCCCACAGTGTGCACGGTGTAGGTCATGCAGGAGAAGCTGTTGACGAGGAATCTCGCTGGGCTGCCCACCTCAGGAGAGAGGACCCCTCGCAGCGCCGGGGCTGCAGGAAGAGCAGGGCTGCATCAGCGCAGCATCACCACCTGCTGAGGTTCCACCGGGCTGCCCCATGACTCAGGCCACACTGGGCTTTACCCATGGCAGTCACCACCCCCAGGGAAGGACGGGCAGTTATTGTTGTTTTTCCTTTCTAAGGACCGAATGATCAATTGAAGCTGAAACAGACTAATGAGTTGTCTGGCCAGGGAAGATTGGAACCCAGGCCTTTGCTCTTTGGTTTGTAGAAGTGTATTAACTAAGATGGCAGGAGGGAAACTTTTGTCGGGATTTTACTGACAAGATCCTGCACGTGAATGGGATCCCTGGGTGGCGCAGTGGTTTGGCGCCTGCCTTTGGCCCAGGGTGCGATCCTGGAGACCCGGGATCAAGTCCCGCGTCGGGCTCCCGGTGCATGGAGCCTGCTTCTCCCTCTGCCTGTGTCTCTGCCCCTCTCTCTCTCTCTCTCTCTCTGTGACTATCATAAATAAATAAATTTAGAAAAAAAAAAAGATCCTGCACGTGAAAATCCAACATAAAACTCACATACCTGGGTGAGTACCTGGGTGGCTCAGCCTGTTAAGTGTCTGCCTTTGGCTCAGGTCCTGATCTCAAGGTCCTGGGATCGAGCCCCACATCAGGCTCCCTTGCTCAGCAGGAGGTCAGCTTCTCCTTCTCCCTCTGCCGCTCCCTCTGCCCATGCTCTCTCTCTCAAATAAATAACATCTTTTAAAAATAAGTAAATAAAATTCACCTATCTTTGAATTCAGGGGGGACCAGTAACCGAGATGCTGGCATACACCCACTGAGATGACTAATCGTTGTTTGTAATGCCAGAGGCAGATTTCTCATTCTATCTGGGTCACCCCCACTGAAGTATCCCCCAATGCATGGGAAAGTCTCCCATGTCCAGACAAACCTCTCTTGCGGCCACTCCAGCCCGAATGTATTTTCAAGGAGGAGAAAACATTTACCCATGTAATCCCTCCTGAAATGGAAAACTACTTTGAAACTGATTTCCATCTCAACATAGTTGTTAAAGATTTGTTTATTTAGAGAGCATGAGTGGGGGGAGGGGCAGAGGGAGAAGCAGAACCCCCAAACAGGCTCCATGCTCAGCACAGGGCCTGACATGGGGCTCGATCCCAGGACCCTGAGATCACAACCTTAGCCACAATCAAGAGTCAGATGCTTAACCAACTGAGCCACCCAGGTACCCCAACAGTATTAAGTTCTAAAATCGAAAAGTGCTTTGTAGTTGACTTCCATCCCAATTCCTTTCTACTTAAAGGTTCCTGACACGCTTCCCTCTTACCGGAAGGAGCCGGACGCTATAGGAAAGGCTCAAATGCTCTGGGGGAGGCAGGCCTCAAGACAGAGTGGCCCGGATAGAAAGTCATCAAGGGTTCCGCCCATCCCAGCCAGCTGAGCAGAAGCACAGCAGAGGGGCTCCAAAAATGCTTGTGGAGGGACCAAAGAAAGTCAGAACCTAACCAGCAGTGAAATGCCAGGTGCAAAGACAGCTGGCAGGTGCACAGGGCTTTCATTCACCCCAGCAAACAAGAAGCCTCCTGAGGCACCGCAAGAAATAGCCCAGCCCGTCATGCACGCAGAAGAGTTGTCACGCATTCATTCATCCGTGCCTGCCTGCTGGCATTGACTCAGCTGTATTTACTGAGTGTCAAGCCTGAGGACTGAGGACCAGGGGTGTGGCCTGCAGCCCAGACTGTCCCCCACCCCCACCCCCAGAGGCACCCCAGCTGCTGGGGGAGACGGACGATTAGCACCCGATACAATCAGTGTCGCGAGGCAGGAGGCCCAGAACTACCAGATGGCAGCCCACCCCGGGGACTGGTGGCACAGAAGGGTGTTTTGGTGGAGACAAGAGACAGAGGACCAGTCTGTTCGCTTTAGCAGTGGAATACTCTCGTGGCTAGAGTAGGGTGTACAGGACATGCTCCAGGCCTGGCTGGCCCCCCGGGCGATGCGTCCTGCTGGAGCACCCCCCAGGCAGCCTGGCAGCCCCCTAAAGGTTTGCAAAATATATTTGGTGATGAAATAACACCCCCATATGACTTCTAAGTCAGTTCAGTGAGAAAATACTTATAATGAAATGTCTTAGTCCTGTCCCCATCTGCCTTCCCATCGTCCCCACCCCAAGTATCTCTTTCACTGGTGTCTTGTGTAACCTTCTAGAGCTTCTTAATCCGATTTCGTACTCCCATCCCCCCAACTGCCTGTCTTTCATAAAGGTAATGTGCTCTCCACTCTGGCTCGGACCTTGGAAGGAGGTGCATTTCGCTTTCTAAATGCTACTGATGCCACAGACACAATACCCATTTCTGTCTGTGTTCTGGTTTGCTGGTAAAGGGAAGAATAAGTCAAGGTTTTGAAGTGTTTTGATTAGACAGCAGAGAGGCTGTCTGCGCCACCTGGATTGGGAAGGGAAGTGCAGTCGGGCTCTCCAGCGTCCCCCTGAGAGACACAGAGCGTGCTGCCTAGTAAATGGTCACACACACGGGACAAGGATGTGTGTGCCCAGCAGGAAGCAGCACAAACATGTTTTAATCTTTTTTTTCCCTTAAGATTTATTTATCTTTGGGGGGAGCAAAGGGAGAGGGAAAGAGAATCTCAAGCAGACTCTTGCTCAGCACAGAGCCCAATGTGGGGCTCGGTCTCATGACCCTGAATCATGACCTGAGCTGAAACCAAGAGTCAGATGCTTAACCAACTGAGCTACCCAGGTGCCCCATTTTTTAATCTTTTAACTCTGGAGGTAAGGCCTGCATATGGCCAGGAAGGAAGGAAGGAATGAAGGAAGGAAGGGTGGGAGGGAGGGAAGGAGAAACCAAGTGAGAACCAGCCGCAGCCCCACTTCTACTTCCCAGCAGTAACTATTGGTGACAGGTGGGCAGATATTTATGCTCTATTTTGCAGGAGAGCAACATCAAGGCAGCAGGTAAGGCAGTTTTGTGGGTCCTGTGAGAGCCAGCTGTGACAAGGGCTTTGAGGCCTGCTCTAGGCCAGGCACCCCAAGAGTCCTGATGGGCTGGGCACAGGAGACAGGGGGCTGGCTACACCCTGCCCTACTCTCTCTCCCTCAGCCCCCTCTGCCCTCCATGTTGCCCACATGTCCTGTGCCCACATCCATCCTCGGCCCCTGTGCTACTCCAAGCAAGGAGAGTCTTGCTGACCAGGGCACCCCCAGGCCTCATGGGCACTTGGCAGAGTGAGCATTCAGCACGTATGTATCACAGAGGCTGTGCTCTTACTCCTGAAAGGCTTGCAGGGGGCCCTCAGGTGCCTTCCAGGTGGCTCGGGCTACAAGCTGTCTAGGGCATGACAGCCAGGGGGCTCCCTTGACCTCAAAGGGAGTCCCTACCCCCAGGGGTGCTAGGCACAGGGGGAAACTGGGCAGCCAAGGGCGGGGCAGAGAGGAACAGAACTGTTCTCCAAGGGCTGACCCCTCTCCCCTCTCCCCCAGGAGGACTGGGCCGCAGTCACCCTCAGACAAATCCTGCCCTGACCTCATGGGGTCCAAGGGCAGAAGCGAAGAACAGGTGTCCTTAGCAAGTGAGGACTCACCTAAGCCTGACAGACCCCAGGCACTGAGGTACAAGCCAGGGCCTGGCTGTTAGTAGGTCCTCAGTAACATATGTTGGTGGACAGAGGCCTGGGAGTGGGGTGGCCTTGCAGGGGGTGAAGAGAAGGGGACAGTCTCCGGGGACCTAGGGCACTTCCCCAGCAGGCACAGTGCAGGCAGGACATGGATCCAAGTCCTGGTACTAACTTGACAAACTTCTTTCATTTTTTTAAAGCATCGGCAGGATTTATGCATCAATTTCACCCACTTAAGTGTACAGTTCAGGGAACATGTGTGTACACAGCTGAGCAACCATCGCATCTTATTTACAGCCCCCCTGGTTCCCAACGGGAACCCCGTGCTCCTCCCACCCCCACCTGGCCCGGGGCAGCCATGATCTGTCACTACAGATACACATTTTCTGGACACTTCAGATACGTGGAGTCATAGAATTTGCAGCCTTTGTGACTGGCTTGTCCCTTCCCATGAGGTTTCTGAGTGCCACCAGGTCACAGCCAAGCCAAGGCTTTTTTTTTTTTTTTTTTTTTTAATCAACAAACAATATTCCATGGGGTGAATGTAACTCATGGTTTGTCTGCTCACCAGTTGGCAAACATTTGGGTGGTTTCCGTTTCTTGGCTCGGATGGATAATGCTGCCACAACTACTCAGCTGCCCAGGTGTTTGTGCGGACAAGCGTTCCTGCTTCTCTTCGGTGAGTGCCTGAGTAGCACCACTGGCTCACATGGTAACTCGGTGTGACTTTCTGAGGAGCTGCCAGACTGTTTGCCCGAGTGGCTGCACCACCCTCCACGTCCTCAATACCCGTTATTAGCTTTTGGGTTAACACCACCGCTGCCACCACCACCAGTCATGTGAGTGGCTGTGCAGTGGTAGCTCACTGGGCTTTGATCTGCATTTCCCCAGAAGGTGACGGTATTAACCATCTCTTCACATGCTCATTTGCCATGTATCTTCTTTGGCGAAATGTCTGTTGGCATCTTTTTGGGCAGTTTATTTAACCTTCTTGAGCTTCACCTCACTCTCCCCAGCTACTAAATCCTAGGAATTCTTTATGAAAGGCATGCAGAGCCTGCTACATAACAATGATGGCGTTCTGTAGGGTTGACCTAGGCGCTGCGCCCCACAGGGATGGGCCCACAGTCTCTCAGGTTGGGAGTGGGAGGCCAGGCTGCTCAAGAAGGATCCCCTCCCATAGCTGGAGGGTGAAGGATGAGCACTACTTGCTTGAGGGGTCTACCCTGTTCTAGATGTTCTGTTGAGCCACTCCACAAGGTCTCACTGCAAACCTACCAGAACCTTCTGATGAAGTGCGACCTCCCTGTTGACAGGAGACAAAACCTGGAGACCAGATTCAGTAAGTTCTCCAAGTTATCGAGTTGAAAGTGTCAGAAACTAGCGCACTTATGATGAGCCCAGGGCCGTGCCTGGTGTGTTTAATCACTGCGTTGTACACCTGAAACTAATACTGTATGTCAACTAACTGGAATTGAGATTTTA